ATAATCAGTCACAAGAACGTCGAATCTGAATCACTTGAAAAAAACATGGGGGTGCTTAACTTTTTTCCAGGTGTATATATATTATTTCAAGAAACAGTTTACAACCCCATTTATTGGATAATGGAGTGTGTGTGTAGTAAAAACTATAAAACATTTCTGAAAGTCAATAGTTTTGAATAATATTAGTTTTTAGTACATAGTACAGATATATATCCATACGAAAGAAAGGGTGGGAAGAATTATGTGATGATGTAATATACTTGAGTACAATTACTTTGACAGGTAGTTCAATGATACTATAAAAAATACTCAATGAAATGTAACTGCACTCAGAGGAATTACAAAACATTTCCCTACTGCCTGAGCTAAGGTGAATTCTATTATATAAGCAATATAATATTTTTTGTAACCTGAATGTGGCCAAGAATGCCAGTTGACTCCATGCGACTGGCCATGTTCACTGTGTTTCCCCAAATGTCATACTGAGGCTTCACTGGACCAACAACTCCTGCTATCAAAGGGCCTACTGCTATACCTAAAAACATGGAATCCATTCTTCTATTTATTCAGCCAATAAACAGTGTGTTCAGGTCAATGAATTTCAAGGCTTTATTTCTCATAAAATGTTTAGGACTAAATCTAAAATTATGTTTAAATAATTTAAATAATCATAACATTCAAACCATATTATCTCAGTAAGAGTTATAAGCTCATAAGAAAGAATTTATCATTGTAAGTCTATAAATAATTCATTCACCTATAAGGATATTAAGTCAGCAATTAATTACTTTTTATCACAGAGATTGGGAACATCAGGTTCAAAATCAGTATCAAAATATAAAATAATACCAAAATCAACCTTACTAAATTAACCAATTTTACAATAAAACTACAAGGTCAAATGGCATGAACGAAAAATACAATTTGTTTATCTGGATTAATTAGAATACTGACACATTATTTTTCATAATTGTATGTTACGACAGCGGAAGTTGCGTGATTCTGGGAGCATGCATGCTGGAGTTTCTAGAATTATTGGGAACCCCGCGAATGTCCGAGTGTTTGCTAGACGCCCTTTTTTTTAGTATATAAGCCTGGCGAGAAAAACTAGTGCAATGGCAGAGATAGATGGATTGAAGAGATAGATAATTGAGTCAAGCGAACAGTAGGCACCGTAAGTAAAGTGTGTCAATCACTGTGATTTATAGCATGTGTTATTATAAAGGTTGTTAAGTTTAAAGTGACTGTGGAAATTCTGTGTATTACAAAGTTGTATCGAGAAAGAATAAACTAG